GGGTCCGAACCCTGGGCGGGAGTGCCGCCGCGCTCCCAAGCGGCGCACTGTAGCAGTGCGCCACCGGGCCGGCCCTCTTTTTGACTATGTTTGATCAAGAAAAATTATCCATTCCTCTTGAACTCCTTTCTTTCCAAATTCCAGTCCATAGAGTTGCATGACTGATAGTCTAGCATTTGTTAACATCAGTTAAAGAGATAATTATTAAAGAGTTACTGGTATAGGATAATGTTCTGGAACACTGAAGGCTCACAGAGATGCATAAGATACAATTCTTGAGCTCAAAGAACTTATAGTCTAATGTGAGTCATTAAGACAAATACACAGTTGAACATAGTATCAGGGATAATGTTAGAGCAACTGGAGATGAATAAAGTCTTCTGACATTTAAAGGAAGAAATGATCTATTTCTGTATGAAGGGGCAAGTTTCAAAGAGATGCTAACATTTGAGATGGACCTAGAAAGATGAACTGATTTGGATTGATGGGAATGGAGGTAGAAGAATCAGGCATTTCCGGGTGGAGGGAATAGAGAGAGCAAATGTATAGGACTGCGAATGGGTGGGCAAGAGTTATCAGCTCCCATCTGACTAGAGCTTAGAATGTGTAGAAGAGAGTAGTGTGAGATACTGACTGGAAGGGAGGCTGGAGCAGTGTTAAGAAAAGGAAGTATATGGACTGCCCCAAAGGAAGATTAATCTTTGTAGGGTGGTGGTGGTAGGAGGATAGTTAGGAGGCTATTGCTATAATTTAGGGCATGAGTGAGATTGGAAAGAAGGGGACTGAGTGATCAACATCACAGAGGTTGATTCTTTAGACTTCAAGCTGTTGAGGGACCAGGCATAAGGAATTGATAGTGACACCAAGGGCTTATCCCTGGAAGATCAGGAAAATGAGGCACCAAAACAGTCCTTGTTTATGGGGGAAGCTGATGGGTTTGGAATTGGACATGGTAAGTGTGAAATGCTGGTTAGACATTCAGGGAAAAATATCTACTAAATGGAAGTATGGATCTGGAGCCTAAAAGAGCATTTCAGTAATTCTTTACATAGAGGCAATATATGGAAGCCATGAAAATAGATGATATTGCTAAGTGTGGAGAGAGAGAAGGTCAAGGACAGAAGTGTAAAGAGTGCGTTCTTGTAAAGGGTAGAGGAGCCATAGAAGGAGTTGGAAGCAGCAGTTAGAGAAGCAGAAAGGAGAAGACCAGGGTGGTGCATTGAGGTGGAAGCCAGGGAAGGAGAGGAGGCATCCACAGAGAGGAGGCCATCCTCCCAGGCTAGGGTTCCTGAAGGCTCCAGGAGTAATTTTTGTGTGCATCTAGGTTTGGGAGCATGACACTGTTAAGTCAACGGAGAAATGAAGAAAGAAGAAAAGCCAGCCCCCGTTCTGTGGGATTCTGTCCTTAGGGCATAGTCCCTTCATAAAGAGGCTCATATTTGCTGTGGGACTTAGGGTTTTCAGACTGGTCCGGGCTCCCCTAAGCACTGTCTCCAGGCTGAGGATTAGCAGTTAGTGCATATGGGGTCCTCACCCTTGCTCATTGTGCCTTGCAAGACAGTTCTTCAACGGGAGCTTCCAGAGTGGGGAGAAGCTGTAGCTGTGCTGACCCTGTTTGTTCTGTCTCCTCAGAGACTGTCATAGGGAACTGCATGGATAGAAGTTCTCCAGGACAAGCAATGGAGCTGCCAGATCACAATGGGCTCGGGTACCCAGCACGCCCCTCAGTCAGTGAGCACCACAGGCCCCGGACCCTGCAGAGACACCACACGATCCAGAACAGCGATGATGCTTATGTATGTTGGAGCCCTCCTGTTTCTCGGAGCTGGGATCCTACCAGTCCCAGCCGTGAAAACAGCGTAGTGATGCGGGGTAGCATCTACTCCTCTGCTCTTCTCAGTCAGAGTCTAGCACCTCTAGGAACTGTGGGAGCATTTCTTTGAATCATCCAAACAGACCAAGCCTTAACTCCAGTAGAATCTGTACTCCAAACTTAAAAAAATTTTTTTTCCTTGTTAGTGGCTGGCCGTTACAGGGATTGAACTCTGGACCTTGGTGTTAGCACCACACTCTAACCAACTGAGCTAACCAGCCAACCCTATACTCTAAATTTTAGACTGAGGAATTAAAAATAGTTGCCATCTGTTCCCTGTGTCTTAGTTACTAAACCTCTCCCCAGACAGTCTAAACTCAGTCCCCAGCAAATAAAGCCTTGGGCTCTCAGTTAGTTTTCAGCAGCTGCATGGAACTTATTCAGATAAAGGGAGCTGATATGGCTCAGCAGAGCTTTGTGTTCCTAGGACAAACTCCTAGCATGGCACTGATATGGTGGCAGCTAGCCAAGGTGGCTATTCAAATTTAAATGTATTAAAATTAAATAAAATAAAAAATTTAATTCCTAAGTCATACTAGCTACACTTTAAATGCTCAGCAGCCACCTATGGCTAGTGGCTGTTGGACAGGGCAGATAAAAAACATTTCCGTCATCACAGAGGAGAGTGTGATTGGACAGTGCTGTCCTAAGACAGACTCCCGTAGGTGGCAAGGGGGTCTGACCACCAGCCATAATTCACCATACCCTCCCCCGACACCCACCCACTCCACAGGGGGAAGCTGAGGTAGCTCCCATGCTGTCACCAGGGCAGCATCTCCCTTTGGATGATGCTGCAGAGGAAGGGAGTCTGGGAGTGGGGCCCTAGGCTGCCCTTTGCCTAGGCTCCTTCAGAAAAGACAGCTGTCTTTAAGGGTCACCACAGAGTGGCACTTCCTCTGGTATCCTTATTTCTTCTCCTCATTGTTTTCTGCAGGTGCAGCTGGATAACTTGCCAGGAATGAGTCTTGTGGCTGGGAAAGCACTTAGTTCTGCCCGGATGGCAGATGCAGTTCTCAGTCAGTCTTCACTCATGGGCAGCCAGCAGTTTCAGGATGGAGAAAATGAGGGTAAGGGGCCTTACGCATGGGGCACCCCAGCGAGATTCCTGGAGGGGACCCCTCCCTCCACCTTCACCAGTGCCTACTCCCCTCTTCTGTGGAAAGAGTTCATGGGGGAGCAGAGCCACAGCATCCCCAAGGGGCTGTGACACAGCACCCTTCCCCGCTTGTCCTCCCCTGAATGTGAATGTGTGTACAGGAAGCAAGTTTCTGCTTGAGCACAGCGCTAGCACATTCCTGTTTCTAGTGCCTTGTGAAGATATGCCTTTTATAACTGTTTTTCTGGTTCTGGCTAAAAGGCATTGTGTCCTGATGGAATATTTCTACCTCTCCTTAGAACTAGTTGAGGGAGTGTCTCCTGATAAATATAAGGCATAGGCCTTGGGATGGACAGGTCTGCAGTAAATCCCAACTCTGCCCTTTACAGGCCCTGCAGGTAAGGCACTTAACCTTTCCCCATCTGTAAAGTGGCAAAAACAGTAGATTGTGTGTCCTAGATTGTGCTGTGAGGGTTGACTGGCTTGCTGAGTGTAAAGTGCTTACTTAGCACAATGCCTAGAGCACATAGAGTGCCCAGGAATCGGGTACCTAGGATCAGTAAAATTATCATCTTTCACTCTTAAGGAGGTGAGACTTTCTGAAGGAGCAGTTCTCCATCTTCTCCCACATGACAGAAATCGATCATACTTGATCATACTTGAAGATGGGAAAGGGAAAAATGGAACACTTAGAGAAGAATATAGGAAGAGTCTTGGTCCCCAGCCCACAGTCACTAAATAGTTTGAGGGCCTACTGTGACCTAAAATTCAGGGCTGTGAGTCAAGCTACTGGTTCTCAGACAGATTGTCCTCTCTTCCTCCCCTCTCCCCAAACCGCTCACCTACCCTACTAGCTCCCTGTCAATTTCATGTGTTCTTTTTGGTCTTGCAGAATGTGGGGCGAGTCTGGGAGGTCATGAGACAGGGCTGTGAGTCAAGCTACTGGTTCTCAGACAGATTGTCCTCTCTTCCTCCCCTCTCCCCCCACCGCTCACCTACCCTACTAGCTCCCTGTCAATTTCATGTGTTCTTTTTGGTCTTGCAGAATGTGGGGCGAGTCTGGGAGGTCATGAGCATGCAGACCTGATTGACGGAAGCCAGCACTTAAACTCCTCTTGCTATCCAGCTACATGTATTACAGACATTCTGCTCAGCTACAAGCACCCTGAGGTCTCCTTCAGCATGGAGCAGGCTGGCGTGTAGCAAGAAACAGAGTGAGTGTCACCCTGGCCAGGGCCCAACCAGCCCTATGGCCCAGGGCCAGCTCCTCATCCTGTCAGGGGATTCATGTGGCTAGTGAAATTGACAACGCCACTCTTCCTGTCCCGGCCTTCACGTCTTCCTGCTTTTTTACTAAGCATTGTGCTAAGTTTGGGGTGCAGGTGGGGGGCATACTGAAGACATGCTGGGCAAAGTCCCTTGGTTTAATTATGGGGATAAGACACATGACCCGCCTCATGACAGACAGTATGGCCTTCATAAAGAAAGAAGTGAGCTGAAGTTCCAAAGGACAGAGGTGACCTCTGGCCAGCGTAATAAGGAAAGGAGGTAGTCCTTGAACTCAGTCCTGAAGGATGAAGTCAGCAAGAAGACACATCCAGCCATGTTTCTAAAAGCTGTACAGAAGCAAAGGGCAGGATATTCCAGACAGGAGAAATATGTGATCAGAGGCCAGTGGCAGAAATGGTGAATTGACTAGTGTGGTTGGAGCGGTGCAGAGGGTACCCAGAAGGTGCTATAAGTCTGTCTCTGAAAAATCTTTGACAAAAGACAATGAAAGTGAAGCCATCTGGCAAACCCACAGAATTTTTCAGTTCAATACCTGAGTCTTGCTCTTTTCAAACTCATTCTCCTCTGTGTCTGCTTTGTTGCCATGAGAATGCAGACCTGATTGACGGAAGCCAGCACTTAAACTCCTCTTGCTATCCAGCTACATGTATTACAGACATTCTGCTCAGCTACAAGCACCCTGAGGTCTCCTTCAGCATGGAGCAGGCTGGCGTGTAGCAAGAAACAGAGTGAGTGTCACCCTGGCCAGGGCCCAACCAGCCCTATGGCCCAGGGCCAGCTCCTCATCCTGTCAGGGGATTCATGTGGCTAGTGAAATTGACAACGCCACTCTTCCTGTCCCGGCCTTCACGTCTTCCTGCTTTTTTACTAAGCATTGTGCTAAGTTTGGGGTGCAGGCGGGGGGCATACTGAAGACATGCTGGGCAAAGTCCCTTGGTTTAATTATGGGGATAAGACACATGACCCGCCTCATGACAGACAGTATGGCCTTCATAAAGAAAGAAGTGAGCTGAAGTTCCAAAGGACAGAGGTGACCTCTGGCCAGCGTAATAAGGAAAGGAGGTAGTCCTTGAACTCAGTCCTGAAGGATGAAGTCAGCAAGAAGACACATCCAGCCATGTTTCTAAAAGCTGTACAGAAGCAAAGGGCAGGATATTCCAGACAGGAGAAATATGTGATCAGAGGCCAGTGGCAGAAATGGTGAATTGACTAGTGTGGTTGGAGCGGTGCAGAGGGTACCCAGAAGGTGCTATAAGTCTGTCTCTGAAAAATCTTTGACAAAAGACAATGAAAGTGAAGCCATCTGGCAAACCCACAGAATTTTTCAGTTCAATACCTGAGTCTTGCTCTTTTCAAACTCATTCTCCTCTGTGTCTGCTTTGTTGCAGGTTTTGTGTACAGCTTGGGAATGAAAAGGTTGATTTTTAAACCAACAGTATCTAGCAGCGTTGCGCCAAATTGCCATTGTGTTTGTGCACCTGGAATATCATGGCTCCTCTCCTCACATTTGGTTCCTCAGTGTGCTGTTCTTTTGGGTTCTGAGGGGGGTTTGCCATGTTTGCTTGTATGACCAAGTCACCAAGGAAATAAACAGGAAATCCATGTTCTCCATCTTTTGTGAAAGTGTATTTGAGTTGGTGGTTTGTTTGTGCTTTTTTTTTTTTTTTTTTTGGTTTTGTTTTTGATATGTTTTCTTTTGGAAGTAATTTTCTTTTTTTTTCTTCCTTTTTTATGGGGGGGGGAGTTGTTTTTTTCTTCCTTTCCCTTTCTGTAACAGGGGAGCAAAGCAGCTAGAGTTCAGAGGCCCACAGCCTCGGAGCCGCTCCCCTCCAGGGCCTTCATCGACAGAGCACCCTCCATTCCTCTGCATTGCTCTTCCAGAGGAGCACACCCGAAAGGAACACATCCTCTGGAATCCTAGTGGCTGGGAAAGCAGGAGAAGAAGGGGTGATGGTCTCTGGCACTTAGAGAACAAAAGGAGAGCAAAAAAAGAGAAACCCCAAGCCTGGAACCTGGAGAGGTCTTTACTGCTGGGATCCACTGAAAAATATGTCTGGCCCAGCCAAGATCATATGAAAACTTTAGCTGAGCATGGCCTGGCGTTGATGGGTTGCCAGTTAGAATGTCTCAGTTGGAGCCTTCTCTTTGGTGTATAACTCAGCTTCCCTCTTGTAACCCAGAACGTTGGTTGTCTTCACTGTTCTGCTAGTTCTACCCATTAGAGCAAACACCCAGCAGTGGTGCACTGTGCTCTTCGTGTCATCTTTCAGCCTCATTTTATATTGTGCTAGGAAATGCATTGTTTCTCCTTTCATATATGTTTATATATACTTTTCCCTTTCAGTCTCTTTGTCACAGGCAAGAGGAATAGGAGGTTGTCTTGGGTCTTGACTCTGTCCTAACCTCCTCCTCCTCCCTGGGCACCCTCAGCTCCTATATTTTAATTCTTGATCATGTAGGAATTGATTTGGTAAATGTTGATGATGTTATTATTATTATTATTGTTATTATTATTAATAAAGAAAAAAGGAATTTTTGTTTAAAAGAGCAATGTTTAACCAGATTCTGTTCTATTTGAATTGTGACTTGCACCTTTTGTTCCAAGTACTTTCTTTAGGCATTGTAATCGTGAACAGCTCTCACTGGCGCCAGTGCCAGGTGCGGCCGTCTCCTTTCCCCAGCTGAAGCAGCGCACACTAGATAGCTATTGTCTGTGTCATTATCTTTATTTCTCTTCACTGTTAGAAACCAAAGTCTTCTCTGCTGGCTGGGGGCTGAGTGGATCTGGGTTATCTCCTTCTGATCTTCCAAACAAGAGAGAGATGTTAAATATTCTGACTCTTGATCCTTTTTTCTGGGAAAGGAGCATAAAAGGTCCCTAGTCCCCCCCCCCCCCCCAAGACTTTCATCCCTAATTTGCACAGAAGAAAGCGGGTGCCCAGCATGGCCATCCTGATGTTGCTGGCAGGATCCCCATGCGCTTATCGTTCTCCACAGACACTGGCAGCTTGGCTCCTGGACCCTGTATCCCTCAAGTGGATTTCTGCAGTGCAAGAGCCTTCCTTGGGATCTGTCCCGTGTTTCTGTGGCCCCCAACCTCCCCTCCACTTGGTGGGGTCACCAGCTATTCACCAGAAGGGGGCTTACCAAGAAAGCCCTCAAAGCTATCATTTGACTTCTCTGGGCTTGTGCCAGCTCTGGTGCCCCTCAGTCACCCTGCCACTACCACACGGTCAGCCTGATCTGTTTACGTGGTACTGTATTCACGGAAGAGCAGATCACCACCCTCCAGCAACCACCCAGGTGAAAGCCAGTGAGCCTATTAACCGTGCCATCTTGCGAACTACACTTTTAAAGGATCATTGCTTTGTATTGTAGTAACCAATATGCGCAGTATATGTTGAATGTATATGAATATACTTTCCTATTTCTGTTCTTTGAAAATGTCAGAAGTATTTTTTTCTTTCTTGTTTATGTTGAACTAAAAAAGGATTAAAAAAAAAATCTCCAAACTCAAGTTGGTAAGACCTTTTGTTTTTTTTGGGGGGGTTACTTATAACTTAGTACCTTAGTTGGACAAGTGGGTGGAAACTGGAACACTGGAGGCTGGAGAGGTCTCCCAAGCTTAGGGTGGAACTTTGAGCAATTCATTATCTCTCCTCACCTTGTGAAACCAGCATTCTCCAGAAGCCTAAACCCAGCTTCACACTGTGTCCCCAGTCACCCAGCTTGGACTCTGCCCCTCAGAAGGGAGCATTTGAGTTTGCTGAGCCAGATGGAAAACAGATTCTTTGAAAGGAGTAGAAGGAGTAGAGGGAAGGAGATCCTCAAAGAGTTGGCACAGGCTGGAGCCTTTATGGTGACCCCAGTCAGCCTGGTGATGTGATGGCCAAATAAGTGTTAGGATAGAAAGAGGACTTTTCCTATCATTTCCTCTTTTTATCCACAGCTGGACTCCACAGGGCAGGGTAGAATTTCCAGCAAGTTCCCAGGCAGGGCTAAGACATAGCTGGTTGAAGTTTGTCTACAAAGAAAGCTTACTGAAGCTGGAATACTGACTGAATTTGCAGAAAGAAGAGAAGAGGAAGGACCTCTAGTCCCTGAGAGACTAGAAAGTCGCTGTGGTACCTTTGAGAACAAAAAAGAGCCTTCTCCAGAAGAGTCTGGAAATCCTCTGAGTCTGTACACACTCCCATGCAAGGCTAGGTGAGTCTGGAACCAAACAGTGATACATTTGGATGCCTTCCAACAACCCGTACTTCCTTTTGCAATAGGTGCCACTCCCTCCTGAATTCAGCCAGGGAGCCTTTAGGCTAGATGTAGGTAAGCTTCCAGAGGAAGCAGGGCTCTCCTGGCTATAGACCTGGAGATCCTTGAACTCCAGATTAAACAGAAGCCATGCTGACAGATCCTTCCGTGATCTTCTTTCTGACTTTGTGTCAGCCTCCACCCCACTCCAACTGCAAAGATCAGGAATTCAGAGGGCTGCTGTCCTCCCTCGTGCTGATCAAAGGAGCTCTGTCTTGGACTTAGTCTCCTAAACAGGGGGCAGGAGAGAAACTTGCATAGTTGGTTACAGTGCACTTCCCTAGGGTCTAACTTGGGGCTCTATCACAAGAGCTGCAACAGAATTGCACAATAGGAAATACTGGTTGGGGGTGGGGGTGGGGGCGCATGGAGGAGACAGTCCTTTCTCCCCTGTTCAGTCAGAACCTTTCCAATCCCATGGAGGAGACAGTCCTTTCTCCCCTGCTCAGTCAGAACCTCTCCAATCCCAACTCTTCCACCCTGGCCCACACCACTTGTTCTCAAGATGCAACGTTCTGAGCAGTGTCCGGTACAAGTCAGAATGCTTGAAAGTTTCCTAAGTCTCCCAAGGCCAGCTCCTTCATATGACCCATTTACCAGTCTGGTGATCCTTCCCTTAGTGTGCCAGTGCCATTCACTGAATAAATGTTTGGTGAGTGTCTTCTATGTGCCAGGCCTACCAGGGGACAGAGTCCTCTCAATGCAGACTAGGATGTTGGGACATAAATTGTGAAATGAGGCGCTAATCATTCTGAGCAAAATCCACTCCTGCAGCAGATACCAGCACTCCCAAATATATGAGGGAACCAGGGTCAGCATTTGGTGACCCAATTCCGAAACAGCTGCTCTGGAGACTCCCAGGATGAGGGGAAGAGGGTGGTGGGAATAAGGGCCTACGCTGGTGGGCCCTGCATCCACTAAACAGCTAGTCCACTCTGGGGGCACTCGACGCCTCTAACAATGACCAGCTGAACCTTAAGTCTGATTCTGCAATGAGCCCAGTGTGCTGCTGTTGGTTTTTCCACAGGAAGTCCAGAAAAGACTTCTTTCCTTTCTGAAATATTAGTAAAGAGTGGCTTGGCCTAGTTTAAGCCAAATATCTTGCAATGAAATGGGGTGGACACACTAGTGAAACAGTATATTAAAAAAGGAAACTTCCTGCTTGGTAAGACGCTGTCAAACAGCACTCCTGCCCTGATGCCTCGGAATAGCTGAGCCAGGAAACCAAGAAGTCCCTGAACAGAGCACAAGGGCTATGGGAGCCAGGGGCTCTGCTGCTGGTGGCCAGTATTAGCCACATCAAAGAACTAGAAGCCAGGCCTCCCATCTCCCAGCCCTGCCAGCAGTAAGTGCTAACAGCTGAAGGACACAGGGCAGTTCATAGCAGCTCTGAGCTGCAGTTTTCTCACAGGCAAAATAACAAGGGTAAAATCTGGCCTCTAGCTTTATGAGGACATACTAAGTGTACTATGAAAGTGCTTTGGTCATTAAAGAACTGTGCAATTGTTAGATATCAGGTTTAGCCATAATAATCATTTCAGTAATAAGCCAAAGAGAAAGGTAAAACAGGGACAAGTAGCTTGGAATCTGACAGGTAAGCTTCTGAGATCCTCCACCTGCTGGCTGGAAGGAGCTCTACCCCCCAAAAGAAAGGAACCTCTCTAGGCCTGAGACACCCATAAGCTGTCCCAGCAGGGGACCAGCCCCCATCCCACTCTCTAAACTATAGACAGCTGGGATGGCCAAGTGGTACTGAGGTCACTTCCCTTTCTGCATAGTCCCACAGACCATGGTTCCACTGAACTGGGGCTGGTTCAGTCCTGGAAAAGATGTCCTACATCTCAGCATCTGTAAGACAAGGCCAAGCAGAGACATGTGGGATTCCCTGCCCAACCCCACTTCTGCTGGCAGAAGCTGTAGTCTTGGGCTATGGTTTAATAATGGAAGTGTGTTCTTAGGAATAAGGGGATAGAATACCAGGAATTGAGATTCTGGGACACACAAAGAGAGTCACCAGTGGAGACTGGAAAAAGAAGAGGATGTCTCTCTCCTCAAAGCCCACTCTAGAGTAATAAAAAATAGCAACTGCTCTACCAGATGACCATATATCAACATAGAGGTACTAAAAATACAAAAATCCAAGAAAATATGACACCACCAAAAGAATACAGTAATTCTCAAATACCAGACCCTATAGGGCAGGAAACCCTGGAAATGACCATAAAGGAATTCTGAACAACAATCTTAAGGAAACTCATTGAGATATGAGAAGACTCATCAGACAACATAATGAGACAAGAAAA